GGTCGATACTTCGCTGTACTGTCTATGTAAATAATTTATCTTGGTTATATTTTCCCAGAGCTCCTGTCCGTCATTTTCACGTATATGTACATATTTTTGTTTACGAGCAAGGTTTTACAGAGATATACATATAAATGTGTAATTGAGCCCATCCTTGGGGGCTCAACTAATAACTAATAAAGCTGCTCTCGTGACGCTGTTACATTTAATCAAACATACTTAGTTTCGTCGGTTTTTTTGCAAAGTTTACGTTTCTCTGTCTTATTTTTTCTGCCACTACGCCCAACATAATGTCGCAATTAAGTTATCCGAATCACGTAACAATTGGGCCACATTTCAACTTGCGTTTCTCAAACGATTCAATGTGTAGCAATATTTCAAACAGCATTCGAAATCAACTTTCCCAGAAATACACATAGAATAAAATACTCGTATCTTCAAACCTCGCCATTAAAACATCTGTTCGATCACAAAATTTAAAGTGTATAATAATGTCACAATGCTGTAGCCGCACTGAAGCAAATGCAAAAGGAAATGACGCTGATGCCCCATTGAAGCGGAAATCATATAAGCGAAAGTCTATGCGAACTGTATCAACAAACTGTATCCCGACATTTGTTTGATTGCATCTGTTGAACATTAAATGTTGTAGCAGATTACAATTACAATTTTAATTGTAGTTTACATCAAAATAAATGTGAACAATATAATATATAATGTGCCTTATACAACCATTAACCATTAGAGTGATATAAAGTGTGAGTACATGTGCTATGTAAATACACACAAACTCAATTAATTTTTATTGCAGTTCAATTAAAGTTTTGTAAATGAGAGGGTGCTAATAATCTACAAAACGAAAAGTCGGTAATAAAAGGCAGCCATATTACACCCCGATAATTTTAAATTGTGCAGTAATGATCAACCCTCACACATCCAGATCAACTAATAATTTCGAATCAATTACTTAAAATGATACCACTCAAACTTTTTATAAACTATGATTTTAAGGCTATGTGTCAATTCCGTGCTCTGTGGAGTCTGCTGTGCACCTACAAATGCGGCACAACTGGCCAGAGAAGTTTGCACTTGATGTTGAGTGTTTGGCACCGATAGGTCCACAGTAAACTGAGATGTAAAGCAACTGTCGCAATTGAATTGGTCAGACAGGGTTGAATGAAGGCCACCCTGACCAACAGGTGACCAGATATAGTCAAACAATGCAGAGCGGTATCGACATATTCTCTCGACGGTAGCTGCCCTGCATTCGGATAATGTGGGTGCTGCATGCACGCAAACCATGCACATAAAATAATATATCTGTGCTCATCAGTTGGTGTAGTGTTGTTGAAGCAGAAAGCCCTGTTTACATTGCCTGATCTTGGTGCAGCGTTTGTGCGAGGGATGGAAAACATCACCTCACCGGTATATTTCCCTCCCTGAAACCAGGCGTTGGTTTTCTGCAATTTGGACTTTCGAAAGTTTAAACCCTGGCAACTGCAAGATACAGAAGATACACCTGGCGCAGAGTGAATTGCAACACTCCTGACGAAGTTTTAGCTAATTGTCCAATACAAATCACATATCAATCTACCAAAACAAGAATATTGTATTCAGTAAAAATATGTTAGTATGCATTAGTATTTATACTAGTAAAATCCAAATTGAGAATCATATCATTAAAAACTAAATATTCTACTCCATTTTCAACTCGATTAAGTATGATTCAGAGACATGTATGGGTTTTGGAATTGTCTTGTACCCGTGAAACCAATAAAGTGGTTTGAAGGCATTTAATTCTCTCTGCAAATATTTCTGATCTGACTAAACAATGTGACGTTTCCTCCAACCCTGATCATGCTAAAATATGTTCCATTTAGTAAAGTATAACAAGATAACTAAATGCAATGTTGTTTTGGCCAATTTGGGTTTAGTCTTTATCCATCAAGATATCTACAAGGTTTATAATATTCAAAATGTGAGAATGACCAGGTAATTTGTACATGAATTAGTTTCGATTGTTTTATCAAAAATGATGGAAACTGTGTTTTCATGGATTCCAGACTTTCACTTATTCTAAATGTGAATAAGAGCAGTTATCAGTCAGATTTCCCATTATAAGTATAAGTGTTCTCAATCAGCATATTCATGCTACCATGGATGCTATGAACACACAGATACATCCTTTGTCAAATTACAGATTTACTGTATAATGACATCAACGACGATCATTTCCGTTAATGCCACCACAATTCATGCACCAAATGATAAACAAGACGTGGTCGTTGAGTAAGTGGGATGAAGAGGTTCATCCTGTAGTTAACAAGGTTATTGCAGTATCTTTCCCAGACATGCCTATGCTGTAACAGTTAATTTACACATAATACTAACATGACTATAAACTTAGTCGTATCCAAAGATTACATATATTACTTATCGTAAAGGCATGACGTCATAAACATCTCAATCATATATTCTTTGTAAAACGGTAAACTATAATTATTTCATTGACAATTATTTATTTTCTTAGTCGCCATATGATACACTAACTGCACATGTAATAAATTATTAACTAAAATAACTTACACAAATGTAATAACTTATTAACTAATACAAATAACTTACACAAATGTAATAACTTATTAACTAATACAAATAACTTACACAAATGTAATAAATTAATAACTAAAATAACTTACACAGATGTAATAACTTAATAACTAAAATAACTTACACAAATGTAATAACTTAATAACTAAAATAACTTACACAGATGTAATAACTTAATAACTAAAATAACTTACACAAATGTAATAAATTATTAACTAAAATAACTTACACAAATGTAATAACTTATTAACTAATACAAATAACTTACACAAATGTAATAACTTATTAACTAATACAAATAACTTACACAAATGTAATAAATTAATAACTAAAATAACTTACACAGATGTAATAACTTAATAACTAAAATAACTTACACAAATGTAATAACTTATTAACTAATACAAATAACTTACACAAATGTAATAAATTAATAACTAAAATAACTTACACAG